ATACATTCTTAACCAACTGTAAAAGAGTTATTAAATCTTACCTTCCTGTACCCTAGTGGATTAGTTTACTCACACTAATTGACTCTATTATCCGCTAAGTGAGACGGAATATCTAACACAATCTAATATTCACCCATCTAATTGTTCTATTGAAAAAAAAAAAAAATCTACATTATTTTCAATCATTTCTAAGCTCAACAATTGTTTCCACGCGAAGTTTAATGTTACCCAAATCAGGTTTGAGTCTTATAGAGCTCACATGCCAAACTTCTCAGGTGTAGCTCTTAAAGATCCTGAGATATGCAAAATACAATGAAGAGATGAGATAAAGGACAGCTTCTGTCAATCATACCTGTACACCCTGCCAATTTATATAATACTGCTAAGCAAACTTAATATTTCTTAGCCTCCATCACGTCAACTTAATTTACAGGGTATTTCAGACGACAAGCGCAAAGAAACGAGTGCAAAATGAATAATTTGTGTGACAATGCTGCCTGAGCCTGAGCCGCAGTCGTTTCCTGTTTTTCTGTTGCTTTTCGGGCCAGAGAGTGTGTCCCAATGCAAATGGAAAAAATATCTTAACATTTGCATCTTTTACATTTCGCAATTGTTGGGCACGAGCTAGGGGGTGGACAGAGCGCGGAGCTGGCAGTCAAAGATTTCACAAGAATGGAACCAGAGTCAGAGTCAGAATCAGAGTCAGAGAGCCAGAGAGTACCCGAATCCGAATCAGAGAACCAGTTGGCTGAACAGGCAACTGGCAGCCAAATATTCAGAGAGCTAGTGGAAAAGTGGGCGGTTGTTGGAGCAGGGGCATGGCCTTAACTTGAAGCTGCGTCTCACGTTTGTCTAATAGTTGAAATTCATCTGCATAACCATGTGACTGAGTTAGCTATGCGTGTGTGCTCAGTGCTGTCTGTATGTGTGTGTGTTTGTGTGTGTGTTGATGTGTCTACGTGTGTTTGTGTGAGTGTCTGGTTTCACGCTGTATGCACTGCTAATGATTTGATGTCGTCTCCAGCGCAGCTCAAGCTCCTCAAACCACGCGGCCAGAGTTGCCACGTTGTCATGCGAGCAAGGGGGTGGGTGGCACGAGTTAAATGAGAGAGGGGTGGGGTGGGTGGAGTGGTGCTCAGGCTGGAGTATGCCTTGCCGAAGACAACCTCCTCAGCTATTCTTCCCTCGTCAACTGCCTCAAATTGAAGTGCCTGGCAAGTCAAGGCTTAATGCCAAAGTTGCTGAACTTTAATATAATCCAAGTTGATGGCAGCGCTGCCAGCGTTGCCAGAGTGTCAAATGTTTGCGCATGAAGTGCTACACTTGGAGCTGAGCACGAAATAAGTTATATCTATGCATGTATATGTACATACATACATATGTATATGTATATGTATATGTATCTGAAAAAAGTTGCATTAAGACATCTAATTGGCCTTGACTTTAAGGACGTTGTTGCCAGCAGCTCGCGAATTTAAACTTTCAGATTCTGTAGGACTCCATTGGGTGTCCGTGTCAAAAGTGCTTCAGCTGGTGTTTGAGCCAGATCAAATGGAAATTACAGAAGCCCTTTGTTAACTTGAAGTCCTCCTGCTAAAGCGCATGTTAAAGTTGTATGTAACCTACGTCTCATGTTTGCTTAATATAATTATGTTAACGCCATGTTAACGCACGCATAACACCTTTAATTAGAGTTAATGCTAAAGTGTATGTTAAAAGCATGTTATTGTGTGTCATGCAACAAATCGAAGTGTTAAAGCATATGCTAACATTAAATGTTAACTGATAAATGTAATAAAGCGCATATCAAAAATAATGTTAACGACTATGTTAACGCCAGCTCACATAATAGCTCTTTTTTAGCGCATGTTATTTCAATGGCATTTTAAACGTAGTCCAATTTATTTTTGTCGATTGTGAATTAATCGAGCTGCATGAATTGCCTAAGAAATTAATAATAAAGAACTTTCCCACGCACCATAAATAATTCATTTTTCATTGATTTATATTTTTTTTTCCATATTTATTTCTCATTTATTTTGCAATTATTTGTTTGTTCAGTTTGTTCTGTTGTTGTTTATTTCATATTTGCTTTGGGTATTGGTTTCGCTACTGCTTGGGGCTGTGTTCATTGATCAGAGTTTACAATACAAATACAAACAATATTTTTATATACATGGAAAATAGGCTAAAAATTAGAATAGGAAGAAGAAGAAGACAATTGCACCGATCTATGAAATATTGTTGAGACTTGCAAGTATTTCTTTTATTATTTTTTATTTCCATTCATATTTTTATAGTTTTGTTAATTATTTTTTGTATGTGAGTATTTTGACTCTTGAAATCTTTTTTTCCTTTTTTTTTATTTTTCTGTAGCGTAGACATTGAATGCATTACGTTTTTCTGGTATATATATATATTTATATGTATGTATGTTTGTGTGTGTGTGTGTGTCTGAGTGTATTGTTATATATATATATATATAGATAGAT